CCCGGGTTCCACGACCCTGGAGGACGTCCTTGACTCCCTCCTTGGCCTGCCATCCGCGTCGCGTACCCCGAGTCCTGGGCCAGGTCCCGTCGTTACCGGCACATCCGCCACCATGCGCCATCGAACTAACGTCGGCCAGGCTAATGCGAAAGCCGGGAAGAGCTGCAGCGACCTACGCCAAGACCTCCAAGGTAGGAGGACTATGTAAGTTTTCGTTCTGAAGCGGTTCCTCTCGAGGGAGAGGACTCGAGAGAGGCTCAAAAAAATTCTAATCTACCATTTTCCCTTATGCGAATCTCTATGTATATGTATGTATATCTGCGTGTGCGTATTCGTATTCTATAGTCGCAGTGTGGTTCGAGGACAACCGTTAACATGGGCTTTTCTTTTTCTAGGTGAAAGAGAGATGTTTTAATTTTTAGATTGGAGGTATATACGTTGAAAAAATTTTTGGAAATTTCATTTGCAATGCAGTAACCTTCGTAATACCGGGGTTGAAATTTTATACCAAATACTGGATATTCACTGAATTAATCTAATCGTATTACAGTGAAGAAAAATTAATTTCTTGTCTTAATACGTTGACTGTGCTAGAGGTCATTAGTGACCAACATTCAACTTTTCAATCGCGCCGCGCAGTGGTTAAAAAAAAAAAAAGTTAAGTGATAACTTTAGGTTGTATGTACAACAATTGTATTGTAAAAAAGAAAGCTATCGCACTATTTGGTACTTCTTGATTGGATTTCTGCAATGACTCATGCTTCTCAAATAATAATTTCATTGGGTATTATTTTTATACAGAACTGATTTATTGAATTTTTGCTATTTATTGGGTAGCTTCATGGATTCTTTTTATAATGATTATGTTTTTTCAGTCAAGTAATTACTAAAGCAAATTTACACCAAAAATATAAATTATTCATTTTTATATTTTTCTACGCCAATGAGTAAGAATAATTTTTATTTTCAGTTTTTCTCACCAAAAAACCAAAATCAAAAAATATTCCTATTGCATTAAATCGCATAAAGTAAAAGATCTAGTCTAGAATCAAATTCCGCATAAAATATTATTACGAGTGAAATTAATAATTCATGAATTAAATGAATCTAGAGCGTTCGTTTAAAATTCCCTCCACATTTTCATCGGCAGTAATTTGAATATGGAATCATGATGCGTTCCATTCCATTGATTTAATATGGAATTTCAAGTGACAATGTGAAATGAGTCCAAGGGATTCTTAAACTCTGAAAAAGGACAGATGTGATGAATCAAAGATAATAGCGTATATATGAAAAATAAATAACAGGAAATTTTTTACTCTTACTTTCATTTCAACGTCATGGTGTTAATTGAGAAGTATGAGATTCACGTGTTAACAGTTGAATCATAAAACCACACTGCGCGTATATGTCGTCCTCAATTTATTCGCTCCGCTTGAGTTTCTCTTCGCCTCGTCGCCATTCACCCCTCACAACACACTACCTTTTATCTCTCTCTTTCTCTCTCTCACACTCTGTCTCTCTCTCTTTCTCTTCTTTGTATATATATTTTTCCATAATCTTTCATTTTTCTCTCATAAGAAATACAGTATTGGCGTTTCATTTATATCATAAGTATGTACATGTGCATCTCTAGAAAAAAGAAAAAAAATGTATTGCTTTATTAATATTTTCAGTATATCTTTGAAGAGATTCATTTTTTTGATGTATTAATTTTGTGAGATACAAATCAAATCTGCAAACTATGTCAGTACATTTTACAAATATAAATAGAGAATGAAAAATATAAAATTGAGAAATGTTTGTTATAATAGAATTTTTACAAATTTGTACATTTGTTAAAAATTGATGTTTAGATATTCTATGATCTTGCTTTATAAGTAATTGGATAAAATGTTGCCCGTTATTCATCATCTATTAAATATTCTCCTGAAATTTGTTCTACCTTTACAAAGGATACTGACAGAATATTTTAAAGTTGTGTGCAGACATTGTTTGCAGGCATAAGACTACAATCAGGGTTTCTGGATATTACAAACACTGGGTAACCAAAAGATTTCTGTAAGATATGAACATACAGTATACTATAGTATGACATGCAATATGAAAGTTCATATACAATGTCTACGAGCAATGTATGCAAACTATCTGCATATGAAGACCATAAGGGATGACACAAGCCATTTTAAAATTCAATACTGTCACTCAATCTCATATTATTAAAACTACCTTTCCATTGAATGCCTTGAATATTTTATATCATTATACTCTTAGCCAATAATAAAACAATGTGTTCTTACAAAATCATTACATTTTTATAATAATAAATTGGTAATAAAGTAAGGTCTGGAATGAAATTCACTTAACTTTTATAAAATTTTATACATATTTTATATTTACTCTGCATCTATTGTATTTTTTCCTTTTAATAGTAAATGCAATATTTATATATTAAATTGTTATAGGTTATCAATGTTATATGTTATAGACTACAAAATATTACAAAATCAAGTGACATAAAACTCTAAAAATGAACAGAACTAAGCTTATCATATTTTTATGTATAGTCTTCATATCTTACAGACCATCAGCATTATTTTTACAAACTGTTTACAAATATCCATAAACTATGTACACATATATATTACTATTTATTATTACTATTATTAGTAATAATAACTATATATACTATTATTATTTTATATATATACACAAACACATGTTTTCATATGAAAAAATTGCACATTATATAGCTATATTTATACACAAATTTATGTATATACATAACCTCAACACACTGACATCTACTACAAGCTATAAATTAGAAACGCCACTACAGTTATCCATACACGAGAATATTCTAGGAAACGCCAATACAAGATACGATGCACCAGGAAATCTTTGATGAAAATTATTTTTCCTGTTGCATCGTTCTCTCGCAGTCTTTCTTTACCTCGAGATCGCTAATCTCATTGTCAGCCACAATTGACGACGAAGGGAGAAAAAAAAGAAAAGAAACGAAAAAAAAATACGAAACAGAAAGAGAAGCAAGTCGAAAGGGAAAACGCGTCGCGACGTTTCTCTTCCGTTTTCCTTTTTCCGTTGCACTTATGTTGTTTTACACCTTTGCAGAGAAGAAACGACGTCTAAAGTTCAGGGAGGCGGAATCGTAGCATCTCGCCTCCTCTGAATTCAGACGTTTCAATGCGAGGCTTATCGATCAGAGATGAATTTATTGGTACCGAAACTGGCCAATCTGGGACCCGGAGTGCTAATTACGTTTATGACGACAACCAACGAAAACGCAGAAGACGCGAATCATTAAAATATATACAAAATTCGTAAGACCTTTTTCAAGATTTTTGCCTTCGTTTCTTAATCTATAATTTCTTCTTATTTTATACTTTCTTTTCTGTTTCTATTATATTCAGTTACTTTTGCGTTGATAATTTTTTAACACTTGTTTTGCACTACGACAGCTTTTTTTTAATTAAAGGCACTCGGGAGGGTGATCTTTTTGAAAGAAAAAAAGAAAACGAACAGCATATAACACTCTGTGACTTGCAACCATGCGAACTAGACACAAATGCCTGTCAAGCGGTTTATCCCTGACGTTTGTCGCGGATACAATCGATACTAACACTCTGCGATCACAGAAGGAAGCATTATGGTAACCATGTTCATTCCATGCACACGACATCGCTTTAACATTATCACGTTTCATTCCGCTTCGAATACGTTCGATCGTGCCGTTATCGTTTGTGGATGAGAGCATGGGGAAAATGATTTTTGTTAGTTAATAATTATGTCAAATAAACTTGATGGAATATTAATTAAGTCTACAAGGTATTCGTTGCAATGATATCTACAACTATTTAATTTGAAATATGTATGTAAATTTTTAGAAACTTTTTTGCAAACATTCCAGTCTTCCATTGAACCCCATATTTCTTGTAATTCTGTGAAATAATTTTAATGAGAAATTAAGCTAAGGCTGAATTAACGTTGTATGTACTAATATTATATCAATTGATTTATTTAATGTAATAAACAATATCTTAATAATGATTATATAAATTAGAAAGATTGTGGTTAAGAATGTAATGCATACCTTGTATTTTTAATTAGGCAGGGTGAGAATAAAATTGTAAATTGATAAGAATACTTTCTTGTCCAAAATAAGTTAGGTGTGCAGAATAATTATTTTTGATTTAGAACTATAATTTGTAAGAATATTAAGATTAAAAATATACTGTGTATGTCTTCATAAAAACAGTACAATTTAGTTTATAGAAAGGTAATGTATAATCGTTTTATCAATAACAATTTAAAAATGGTTGTGTCATAAGTATTGAACCTTTTCAATTCTTCAAACATTTTAATGTTTTGTGTTAAAACATCCAGATTTTTCATTCATTCAAAACTGTCATTCACTGAAGCTTTTGACATACCTTTGCCCTGTTCATCATACACATTCATCCTTAATAGTTCATTCATACTTGATATTTTTGTTACTGCTATGGAAGATTATCAAATGTTAATGCATAACGACAGACCAATTTTTATTTTGCAACGCTTTTTGAATATTACACAGGATGTCAAAGACTACCTTAACAGCCTGTATATTTTTCTTGCCAACAATAATTATTGTAATCTTATGAAAATTATACAATGTGTGTCATGCGAAAAATTGTTAGTTTTAACAGCTAAAATCACTTACGATGGTTTGAAAACATTATTAAAAATTAAAAAAATAGCAACTTCAAATTTAGTGTAGAAAAATTTCTTCTGCACCTTTGTCTTACATTTTACACAAAAATGTAACGAAATTTTATTTTCACCCTTTGTCATGCTATTATTAACTTCGAATCTAATTCAACGAAAGTTTTGAGAACCTTTCCGCCCAAACGATAAACTTAGTACGACCGTCGTAAGCACAAGTTCGAATCCTTGAATTCTATCCGCTTTCTGATTATCCAAACGATTGCCAAATGTCGCAGAGTCCGCTAGGAGCGTGATGGACGTGCAAGGAGCCTCCGAGGAGCATGCCTCGTACTACGTGGGTGAGCTCGTGCGACGAAAGAGCGAGGGCAGCGACACTATGCCCTCAAAAACGGTTGCGACACAGTCAAGAGGCGGGCCCTTGAGTCACCGAAGAGTTTCCTTCGACAACCAGGAGGCAAATGGTGTGGTGGCCGGCAACGTTGCAGAGAAGGTTATTCGTTGCCGCAACAACAAATGCAACAACTCGGCCACTCTGGCCGAGGCGAAGAAGACCTACAAAAGCTGTCATAACTGCACCTGCCTGTACTGCTCCAGGGAATGCAGACGAGCGCACTGGCAGCGTCACAGGAGAACCTGCTTGCACTCTCGAGCTGGAAGCCTCTGCAAACAGGTGTTGTCCTCAGCCAAGGAAGATCCTATCACGCTCAAACACATCTCGGCCCTGGCCAAACGTGGCTACGCGTTCCACGGTCGTGGTGCCGTCAAATGTTTCTTCTCTAGCCTAGAAGCTGCGGAGAAGTTCATCTCGAATGGCTTCGTGGACCTAGGGGAACCAACGTACGTCCGATGGTCGGACCTTCTGGCAAGAGAGATGGGAGCAGAGCTGTACGCCGAGGTGATTAGACTCTGTAAGTCGTACAATCCGGATACCAGGCTGGTGTTGTACGTGGCCGTTTTCGTGGTCAGCGAGGTACCAACCAGTGGAGCCGTGAAATGGGAACGTCAACTGGTGTCCAGGTGCGCCAAGATCCACTTGGACTCGGCCAATAGGCATCACACGTCCTCGTCATCCGCCTCGCCACAGGGCAGACAGCAGTCCACGTCTCCCTGCAACATTACTAGAGAGATGGAATCCCCAGAGATGCTGGTACTCACCTCGCTGCCAGGCAACAATGGGCAGAACACGCCCAAGAAGATCCGGGAGATAAGCTTCGCCAATATTCAAAGGCAGCTGAAGCTGAGGGGCGTTTCGCTGAGGAGGCATTTCCCGCAGGTTTACAGGAAGCTCCGTGCCTACGTGGATGGTACCGTGGACAAGTTCCCCCCGGTCACCATGTATCCGAGAGACCAGGCGTCTGGCAAGAGTTTCATGTGCATCATCATGCTCGGTGTAGAGGCTGAGCGTCTTCAGCTGCTTCCAACAGATTCCTCTAGGGTTAGAACCGTTGACATTAGCGTCGAGGAGGAATGAACGCCGAATAGAAGCTCTGTATTCGCTTAAGCGGTTTTTTACTAAATTAGTGAGAATAATCTTCTGCAGGCTAATGATAGGCGCACGTGCGAGAAACGCGAGATATTCCGAGCTTGATCTTCAGGTTTACGCCTCTGAGTAGAAGGGAACCATGTGTAACAGTTGCCTGTGAGCGGAACAGCTGAAGAAAGCTCCTGGAATTCTATATTCTATAGTAAATTGAACGAAAGTAAATCGTCTTTGAGACAAGACGCCGTGTAGGATGGTCTTTCGAGAAAAGATGGTTTACCAAATCGAGGACATGTCGAGGTGGTTGATATTCCACGACATTTCATGTGGAGCAACGAACAAAATACATAGATAAATTAGACTGTACGTTGCTAACACTCTCGCCTTGATCAGTTTTCGAGATAGATCTAATTGTGTACTTATAGTTTGCGATAAGAGGTTATTGGTACACGTTAGAATCGTTGGAGATGTTAGTTCGCGTGTCGTTCCGATGTTAAAGAATACTGTAATTCCCGTACGATGTTCGCACGAGTATCGTCGGTCGACAAGCATCAATTTTCATAAACGCTTAACGAGCGTGTTTTCTCGTTGTAACTGAAATCTATCAGTTTTGTTCACGAGTCTCGTTCGTGAATGTTAGGGTACCTCTCTGATTGCTTGGCTAGATCAAAAAATAAAAATCTCCTCGATTTGGTTGTTATTGGGTCAAATGTTTATTAACTACATATATCGATCGTTGGACGAATCAAAGAGCGACCTTGATAGAACAACGGTTCCTATCAGCATTTCGATATGAAATTATTGAGAAACTTTGAAGTTATTTGTGTCACACTTTCATGAAAATGTGTAATGTAAAATCTTTCTGCGTTCCCAAGAAACCGTATTTTCCTAATGTATCGTTCAATTCTCCGATTTCCTCTTCAAAAGTCATGTCTATAGCGTAACCGTTGACCTAACCTATAAATGAGAACCTGTTCAAACGCTCCACGTTCGACACGTCGTTTCCGAAAGTAATAATGAGAAGTATCTTGTTGTCCTTTCGTTCGATTTAACGTAGTTACGGTTGTATTTTTTGAATTTTATCGTATATATTATATATAAAGATTAAATCTCCACGATGTCGTCAGGCTGTCTCAATTATAATTCGAGAAGGTGTTCTTCGAATAATTGAAACTCGAATCAGCCTGAACGCGTCGATGAAAAAAAGGCAAATGTAGATTGTGAACGAGGTTTCTGCAGTTTAACAGCTCCTCACGGAAAACTCCCCAAATGTCCAAAGTTTTAAAGTCCGTAAAACCTGACTAGTGGCCGGTGTCCCTGAAAGTAGAGTTTCTACCGAGTAATCGTCTCGAGCTCAAATCCAATTACTATACCGTTCCCACAGACGCGATCTTTGTGCCAAAGCGTAGACCGTAATAAACCTCGGAGTTAAGAAAGTAACTTGCGCAGATCGCAATGGCAACAGAAACGAACTTTTGCAGAAAGGAAGCATTCTGAGAATCTTAACCTCGTGGACTAACTTCGTGGCATCGAAGACCTCTCGGTTTAGTCGGTTTAGCTTTTTCCTTTAATAAGATCAGGACACCAATTGCTCCTTCTTTTTCGATAAAACAATTGAGAATTAATTGAATTTATATAATAAAAGAAAGATATAATTATGTCGGGAGAGTAATTGTTTCAAAAACAATGAAACTCGAATGATCGTATATCGATTAATTTTCTACAAGTAACAAAAATGCCTTAAATTATATTTCAAGACACTTTTTACTTCATGTATATTACTTTTATTTGTCATTTGTAATACAGGAAAAAATTGAGAATCGAGATTATAAGTTTAAATAAATATGAAATCTTATATTGAACTTAGGTATATTTAATTTGAAATAACTTCTTGCATTGTAGGAACAAAGAAAATTTATGAGACAATTGGACTAGCTCACTATAATTTTTAACATGAGAATAAATACAAAATTAGAAATTGAAAAGACGATTCGCTCATGCATATAAGTATGGATCATACTTGCATTTTAATGACACACGACACGTGTTTCATGATGGCCATTACGTCATCCAACAAACGACATTAAATGGAGACAAAGAAATACATCGTACACACACATGCATATTACAGTAATTTTTGCTTATTATCCGCTCATACGCCGTACGTGGTTTTCTAAGAAACTTTTACTCTATGCTATAATTTCAGATATTTGTAGATATATCTTTCACTCTTTCTATTATAGCATGCAGCAGGTGATTAACTTAATCTAAATTGTCTTTACTATAAATTTAATAGTCACACGGCAAATAATCTATCGTTGAATTTCTCACTTAAGCATGAAACAATGACCTGAAATACGTGTCATATTAAGACATGTGAATTATTTTATGTGTATTTAGTTACATGTAAATTAATGAATGTTTATTTTAATTCATGAAATTTTTAGAATGGGAAGATTAATTTACAGATAGAATCTATGGTTCCACAAGTATCGAGGTTTAAATATAAAAATGAATAAAACATTATTTTTATTAATAAAATTTATTTAATGAGTTCTTTGTTTCAATATAAAAAAAACTATTGTGTTAACATTCTCTGGTAACAGTCAAGCTCTTTTGGAAGTAATTATATTTTCAGTATCTTGAAAAGCATCATCAGGGACAACTGATGTTGCTAATATACATGTTTAAATATTTCATGACGAGTTCCGCAATATTTATGTAGTTTCTTGCGTAGTAAAATACTACGATTGCATTTAAATATACGTGAAATAATTCACAGATACACGTATTCTTATAATATATGTATTTCGGTATATAGCTGTCGAATATACATAACACATGTTTTTAATATACGTTATAAATCATCATCTCTAATAATGACATTGCCTGAACATAACCTATCATTAATGTCTGGTGGTCACTGTCTTGTCGAGTCAATGTAACATTGCAACGCGATGGTTCTTTTGTGTAGGTGATTTCGTAATCTTTCGTATTCTGTAAATAGTGCAATACACGTTTAATGATTGTTCAGTGAATCTTAAATTTGAGTTGGATTGGTTTAACACCCTGCTGATCTATGCTAAGTCTGGCCTAGTGTTATTTATACAGTAAATCCTTTTTCACGGTTAATTCATTTCGTGTTTTATCATAGCGATGTTAAACTTGATTTCTTCCAAACCGTTCGGTTTTTTCGGGTTCTCTATTTTCAAACTATTTGAATATTCGAAAAATTCTGATATCACTACCATGAGTATGATGGAATTATTTTTGCGTTTAATAATTGCTCTGTTCTTATTGAATACAGTCATGTTACCATTGTTTGCAATGCTTGAGACTGAAGCTAAATTCATTCTTAATCTTTCAACATCAAATAAACTCAATAAAGTAATAAAATTGAAGTATCAAGGGAAACAATAACAGTGCCAATGATATAGTTATGAATATATAATGCTCAAGGATATCTCGGTTAGAGATGGAGTTTAAATTTTATTATTGACATTATTAATAGAAAGGCACTTGTAATTTGTTTTCTTAATTCATTCCAATAGATATGTTAATGTTAGATGACTGAATCAACATCTATTTTATTTGCTATAATCTTAAGTAAAAGAAACATTAAAAGTACTTTCTAGTGCCAATGGTAGAATTTCTTATAATACTTTCATATAAGACATTTACAATGGCATTTGATACAGTGAATATTATTCTTATAACTATGCTGTAGTTTAGCCAACATATATTGCAAAAATCATTATTGTACAATTTAATGTTGCATTTGTTACATCTGGAAAATATTGTATAATACACACATTTCCATTTCAGATTACATTCTTTTATGTTAGGAAAATCAATGTCGTTTTTTTTTCAGATGCACATAATAAATAGAAAATATTTTAAGAAATGTATATCATTCAAGTTGCAATGAGTTATTCATCTGAATGTTACATATAATATTTATTTAAAAGTAAAATATATAATTACCAATTTAATGAAATAATAATATTCTTGTAACAAACTAAAGTTGAACAGTTTCATATAGCAAAGTAAATTTTTTCAAAACTATTTTTCACTTCAAAACAATCAATAATATTAATGCTTTTTTCAGTTAGAATTTTATTACACATAATATTCTATAATAAATGAATATCATAATTTTTATATTATTACAATCTTATTAGATAATATAGTTATATAATTTTACAAATAAAAATACAAAATTTATTTTGGAAGCCTCAACTTTAAGAAAAAGGGAAGATACAATCTCATTTAAATATATAATAGTAATCTTGATTGTATTGAGGATAAATAGTATTTGAAAAAAGTTACATTTCATATACACTATAAGATTACTCAACTCTTGCCTTGAAAATATATAAATATTTTCGTGTATCTCTAATGGCAAAAGGGACAACTAGTGACTCTACTTTTGATAAACTACAGCTAATGTTTAACAGTTGAGATATCTATCTCAAATTTACATTATCCTAACTGAAACAATATAGATGCTATAAACTTATAATATAAAATACCAGTTATTCATTTTAATATTAATATATAATACAAATACTTGAACCAAATCAAAAGATAAACCTCAGTAATAATAATTGCGAATAAAAATCTTCTTTATCAAAGATATAAAAAATTGAAATAATATTCACACTTTTATAAGATGCAATGCTTTTTCAAATACTTGTATAAAGTACAGTATAATAGTTACATATTCTGCAATAACAATTATTCATAGAAGTATATGCTCACCATGTACATGTAACAAATTCAATATATATTTATGAAATTACTAAATATATATATATTTATATATTTAACTAACAATTTGAAAAAATAGCAATAAAAGAAATGAGTAACGTTTTTTAAAGATATGTAATTATATGCTACAAAATGAATAGTGATCAGGGTTAGAAAAAAGATAATAATAGGAAATGAAAGATTTAGTCATATATTCTGTGGGATAAATAGAAACAAAAACTATAAAAAATTAAATTAATTTAATAATTTTCTTTGAAGAATAATGACTGAAGATATTACACTTTTTGTTTTATAGTTTATTATATAATTTATTATTAATTAATAAATGTCAGTTCTTACTCTAAATTAAAAAAAAAATTAACTTTTAATTATTTATAAGGTATAATATCTTTTTCCAACTCAGGAGTAACTTGAATGACATAAATTTCTCAAAGTAATTTTTATATTAATTTGAAGTTTTGTTTTAATTAACATTTTTTATAAAAAGGCCTTTATAAAAATGTTTGGCGGATAAAAGCAAGAGAGTTAATAATATACTTATTAAGATACATTCTAGAAGTCTCATGTATTATATTTATGTGTTAGTTGTGTCACAAGATCCCTTAATAGTACATGTTGTCAATTATACAAAAGACTTATGAATTAATGATGGCAGTTCTGCTGAACACCAAATATTGACTTTGATTAGATTGTGTCTATATAATTGTATAATAAGATTACTGCATGACCAGCAATTACATAGACTCAGACTGTTTGGCAATATGATATTATGTGCTGCCCTAAACACTTGCTTGGTGTTCCCTTAATTGTGCTAAATTATTTTATCAAAATTAAAGCTCACTGACATAAACTAAATGAAACTGTTTATAAATAATAAATGATGAGCAATCTCCTTTCTGAAAAACTGCCTCTACTGACAACAAATTGAACTTTCCTGATTCTCATTAAAATGTTAACAAATTTTATTTTAAGCAAAGGACAAATTATTCAATAGATTAAATTACTTAAACAAGTCTGATGAATAAATGAACTGTTATTTACCATATTTAACATTAATTTGTTTAAATTATACAAATTTTAAAAGATAAATAGACCAAAATAATACACTTAAATATATCAAAAAAATTTTGTATGTGGTTGTGTTATTCATATCTTTAATATTTTTTTGACACCATTCAATATGTTTATAACAGTACTATGATATTCAATACCACAGTCGATTCGACATTACATTTTTCTTACGACATTTTTATAAATTATATAAAACACAGTTGAAAAGAGAAGTTGACATAACCTCTCTGTATAAATAATATTAATAAACAAGATAGAAACATAGTAGTACAAAATTAATTGTCATTATTAAAATTAATCTAGTATTTATAAAATACCAGATAATTTGTATTCTATTAAGCAATTTATATAGTTCTCTTACTATCATAAAAAATCTGTGGTAAGAAAATCCATTTTTCTTATATTACATGAATTCTAATATTATTGTGCAATTACTGTAACATTCATTCGCTATTTGACAGTTCTTTCATTATTCAACGAAGGTATTTTGGTTAGCACCGAGAGCATACAATTGAACTAATCGATAAGTCAATCGATACGTAGTACACTAGAATTTAAAACAGGGATTTCTACCGAAATAGAAAATACCGGTATTATACCAGTAAATATTGGTAGTACTTTTTCAACTCATAAAAACTGAAATACACAAATATCAAAATTGCATCACATGGCTACATAAAAAAATCGATATATTCATATACTTTTATTTACTAGTACATAAAAATATCGGTATATTTTTTTGTATTT